AATAAGATACAACTTTAATTTCAACAAGAATAATGATTTATAAGATATGATTTGACATAGGTGCCACATACATACTGACGAGAAAGAAACATTAAAATATTGAATAATGTTTCATGAAAATAGTTGAAAAGAACAAATATGAAACAATTTATAAAATTGAAGGATCAAAATAATTGTTTTTAAAATTAAAGGACCAATAAATGAACCTCAACTAAAAGATATTAAATATTAGGAATTTGCATAAGGGTCTGTTTGTTTTAGTTTTAAAAAATGGAATTTTTTTTGTATTTTCAAAAATAAATTTTGTAAAATTATTTTTCAAAATATTACAAGTTTTTTTATATTCATTTTTTCTAAATTGCAAGATTAATTTTGATATCGCATAACATAAACATACATTATTGAAAATCAAAACATAGTCAAAATTGTAATTTTAAAAAAAAGTTGTATCTCAAAAATGATTTTCATAAAAAACTATTTAAAATAGCTTCAAAATTAAGTGATTTTTTAAAATTTTGATATCCAATATTTTTTTAATAAAATAATGAAATATCTAAAATAACATTTTAAGATTTTCTATTCAAACAAAATTTTCATTTAAACCTTTTATAAAAAAAAATTTATAAATTTTTTTCTACAAAATTTTGTTACATTATAAAAATCATTTAAAAAAAACAAAACAAAAACAAACCAACCCTAAATTTACATAAATTAGTGACCTAAGTTAATCCAGTACATCATCAACAATTAAAAAAATAAAAAACACAAAGAATGATATTAAACCTTACAATAATGAAATAACATACAAGTCCCAAAATCAACAATTACATTTGATAATCAAATTTACATTCAACATCAAAGACATAACAATACAAAATAACTTTATTTTTTCTACAAATCTCTAAGCATTTAATTTCTTTTGCAATTGATTTTTTTTTTTTCTTTTAAAAATACCATTATAAGTTACACAAGAAAGCAATACAAATTATGTCCTTTACTGGTGAGAATGAATTAATATTTCCTTTTCTATTTCCTTTTGTTGTCTTTGTCACAGAACTGAATACTTTTCCACACTTTACTACATACACACACAAATTCATTAATCATAATGCCATACCTGTTTTCTTTATAGGGACCTTTGGTCCCATTGCAACTTACCTTCTAAAAGTTGTTAGTAACAAGAACCTTGGACACTGAGAAACTCTCCATGTGCATGGTTTCTGTAGAATGTGTGTGTCATATACAATAACAATAAAGAAAGAGTTTCATTTATTATATATGATGAAATCAAAAAGTGAGTAGGATCTTTTCTGCATCTGCAATATTATAATCTACTCTCTCCACATGCATCTTTCAAGTTTTAATATTAATAATCTAATAAAACAAAACACTCTCATCACCTTGATCCCATCTATCACAAGAGTTATGTAAGAAGAGAAAATGGAGCATGTTATGCAGCAAGGTCGTTCTCTTGCTGAGACACCTACGTATTCGGTTGCGTCTGTTGTTACTGTCATGGTTTTTGTTTGTTTCTTGGTCGAGCGTTCTATCTATCGCTTTGGAAAGGTGAAAAACACGTTCAAACTCATTCGTTGCTCGACTATTTTCGTGTTGTTTTGCTTGTTATTTGGCATGATAGAATGGATTTTTATTTAGTACTGTCTTAGGAATGTTAGGTAAAAATGACAGAAACACATGAACTACCAGAAGTAATGACATGTTCCTATGCTCTTTATCTACTTGGCTGTGCAGTGGTTGAAGAAGACAAGAAGAAAGGCACTTTTTGCTTCGCTCGAGAAGATTAAAGAAGGTAATTAAGCGCGATGTTCTTTATAACTCAATAATGCAGAATCTTTAATTAATTTGTGTTCATTTTTCTTGATAGAGCTGATGCTGCTTGGGCTTATCTCGCTGTTGTTGTCACAAAGCGCGAGATGGATCTCTGAAATTTGTGTAAATTCATCGCTTTTCAGCAGTCGATTCTATACTTGTGCTGAACACGACGTTGGCGTGATTGAGAATGTCATGATTAAAAACTCTTCCTCTTTCTCTGATGAAACTAGTATTCCAAAGGGGCTAAATAGGGTTGCACTTCATCAATGTGGAGAGGTAACATAACATGCTTCAACTGTAAAATGCAGGTTGAACAAACCGAGATGGAATGCTGTTTCTTCTACAAACCATCCTTCTTAAAACACTAATTGATGAATGCAGGGTCATGAACCATTTGTTTCATATGAGGGCCTTGAGCAGCTTCACCGGTTTTTATTTGTTCTCGGGATCACACATGTTCTTTATAGTGTTCTTGCTGTTGGTTTAGCAATGAGCAAGGTCGGTCATCGCTATCGTTACAACCAAAATGTGTCAATGCTCTTGTAAATACTAATAGCTAGATAAGTAGTTTAGTTTTTCTTTGTTGCATGGATTTGTAGATCTATAGTTGGTGCAGATGGGAAAATCAGGCTACTATGGCTATTATCGACGGAAACTTGCCAGGTAAACAACAAATAAATAGAACGGCGTCGTGTCTTTGCTGCTTCCTTCGATTATAGTAATAATTTTTTGAACTATTTTTGTTCTACAGGAAAGAAAAACAAGGTGATGAGGCGGCAAATAACGTTTGTTTTCCATCACACGTCTCACCCGTGGAGCAGGAATCCAATACTAATCTGGATGGTGATGTATCATCGACATTAATCCTTTTACTTCTTAAATTTCTTAGACTCAGCCAAATGCATGCTTAGAATGATGACAATATGTGATCTGATATCACAGCTATGTTTTCTGCGTCAGTTTAGAAGTTCTATACAAAAATCAGATTACCTTGCACTCCGTCTCGGTTTCATTACTGTAAGTTTTTTATTTGTTTAGTCTTTCTTCTTCGTCGCCGATATGATATTCTCTACCACTTTGCAGGAACATAAATTGCCACTGTCATATGATTTTCATAAATATATGGTTCGAAGCATGGAAGATGAATTTCATGGCATTCTAGGAATAAGGTATGAACCTTTTGAAAATCAATGTAAGTTGTCAACAATGATGAACATGAACTCTATCTAAGATCTGAAAATTACCTGTTTCAATTTTTCAGCTGGCCGCTTTGGATTTATACTATAGTTTGCATCTTTGTAAACATCCATGGTAACTTTGATTTTTCGTGATAGAACACGTGTCGATTGAATGAAGTATCTTCGTTGAGTTTTTCGGATAATTGAGTTTATAAATTTGCAGGTCTGAATATATACTTCTGGTTCTCCTTTATACCTGCAATTGTATGTATAATAATAATCTGTTTTCATTTTTCATCAAATCAAAATGAATTAGTCCAGTGAAAATTATTTCGGTTTAACATGTGATTTCGCTACGCGTTAAGCTTGTGATGGTAATAGGTACAAAACTTCAACATGTTGTATCCACTTTAGCACTTGAAATCAGGCAGCATCAGGGTCCGTCTGCTAGTACACAAGTAAAGCCGCGCGATGGCCTTTTTTGGTTCAACAAACCCGATATTTTGTTATGGCTGATACAATTCGTGATATTTCAGGTAAAATATGTTATGTATTTGTAATCGCGCCGTTCTTCACAGTTGTTTTATCTTGATTCTTTGTTCCTGGTTTCTCTATTGTTCATGCAGAATGCCTTTGAAATGGCTTCATTTATTTGGACATTGGTAAGGTTTTAAGTTTTCAAGAATTTATCTATGCTTATATCTATTCCATTACTCGACTAAATCTTCTCGACGCATTCTTCTATCATTTTTTTCCGTAGTGGGGATTTAAAGAACAGTCATGCTTCATGAGACATCATTACATGATCATCATTCGGTTGACATCAGGGTCGGTTTCATCTCTCTCACGAGAACTACACATTCTATACTTTATCGACTAAGTTTTCAGATTCTACGATCCTTCAATGTTCGTATACTCTTACACATTCTAAATTCTAAACTTTCATGAATTGCAGAATTCTTGTTCAATTCTGGTGTAGCTATATGACAGTACCCCTCAATATAATAGTTTCACAGGTTGGCTTAAACTTTCTCTGCATAAATTTCGGTCGAAATTAATCATATTTTTCACATTGTTTCGACAAAAATGTGACAAACTTTTTTTGTTACTATAGATGGGATCGCGATGTAAGAAGGCGCTAGTGACCGAAAGTGTTAGAGAGTCTTTACACAGTTGGTGTAAGAGAGTAAAACAGAAGTCTAAGCACGATCATTCACTACGCTCGCACACAGCAAGATCAATATGTTCCCTAGAATCAACAATCGATGAGAGGGACGAGATAACAGTGGTATCCGGGACGCTAACTCGAACAACTTCCTTAGACTTAGAGTCTTTGAATCAGATGACAGTAACTTCAGTAGACCAGCTGAATTTCATGACTTCCAACAACCTCCATGACTCAACCGAGTTTTCCAAATCCAGACATATTAATTCACATTACAATGATGTTGGCGACAAAGACGAGACTAAAGTCGAAACTCTTCTAGATTTGTTTCACAAAACATGATCAATTTTAAGTGTCATATGTATTTAAATTCCTACTGCATAACAAGCTAGAATCATATATAGTTTAGCATAGATGTGCAAATCATTCTTGAACTCTATCAAACATAGATGTATATTATATATCACACTACTAGAAGCAATAGATTTAGCATCATAATCATAAACAAGGTTGTCATAAAAGACTTTCCAGAACATAATCATAACTACTTGTGAGACATGAAAATTCATATTCAACATACAGAAACACTAGATGAAAAATATCAAAATTCATATAATACTCGAGCTAAGAAAATAGGGGAAATTTATGAATATTGTGAGCAAAAAAACAAGATAAAAGACAGAAAAATAACATTATTAACTTCACACAGGTGAAGGAATTAATAGAGTTACTACTCATTGTAGAAACAGAAAATGTAAAAATTGAAGAAACAAACATAACATGATATCATATCATAGATTCATAGTAGTAACAGAATTGAAAAATCATCCAGTGAGTTCTTCTTCCTTGTGAGTCTCAATAACAACATCAGACGTAGGATAAGCAACACAAGTAAGAACAAAACCAGCTTCAACCTGGTCATCATCAAGGAAAGAACCATCAGATTGATCAACTGAACCACCAACAACTTTACCAGCACATGAAGAACAAGAGCCAGCTCTGCATGAATAAGGAAGATCAATTCCAACTTCTTCAGCATGGTCAAGAATGTAAACATCACTTGGACATTCAAACTCTTGAGTTCCATCTGGTGTAACTAGTTTCACTTTGTAAGAAGCGACTGCAAGATCTCCACGTTTGAGACTGGTTTTCAAACCAGGAAAACCATTGGAAAATGCTTTTGTGGTGGTGGTGGCTGACATTGGCATCGGCATTGGCTGTGTCCTGAGGAAGGACGTGCTGACAGCAGTTCCATACAAAGCTGGTGCGGTTGCCATTACTATTATGGTTTCAAAGGAACAAACACTGATTTGTGTTTGTTGATAATAAGAAGAAGATAGAGAATGAATGAATGAAATAAGGAGCTTGTGGAAATAGTGTGGTTGGAACAAGGTGCTATATGAACTGCATGCAACCCTATCTGCCAGGTGGCATTGTTGTATGCCGCAGATTATCTATCTCTTTTATCACCACATATTGTTGGTGAATCCTTGTTGGCACCATCTTCACCTTATAGTAATTTTTTTACCTTTTAGTATTGAAAAATGGAATATTGTGAAGTGTGGTAACTAATTAGGTTTTTTTTTTATAGAATAAAGTATATATTTAATTATCTTGTGAATCTTGTTATAAATTATGAAAAAATTCAATATTAATTTGTAAGGTAAAGAATAATAGCAATTAGAATAAATAGTTTTCAGCAATAATAATTTGTACACAAACAATCTATTTTGGAGAAGAGAGCAGTTCTCCAATTCACTATACTCAGAGAATTGTTACAAGAGATTACAGATGAGTTACTAGAAAATAGCATTCGCCTTCAGGTTTTCAAGAATAACCCTGAAGGCGCCCAAGAACAACCATATTTTCTACCAAATGTATAGTTGAAACCTTATACTATACTTTTAAACCTTTGGTCTCCCTTGTTGGTGAAAACTCTAAGATTGTCACACATCAAACATACAAGAGATACATATTTATAATAGCAAATACCCAACAAACAAAGCGCAAAGTGACATGGATCCATGGACCGAATCAAAAAAGCTCGAAAACTCGGAAACACTATTCACTGTACGAACAACACTATTCATCGTACGGACGTCACTATTCATCGTACAGACAACATATTCACCGTACAGACGGTACTATTCACTGACCAATTTTTCTTTTATCGAATTTTCCTCTGACTTTCTAAAACTTTTGATTTTCGCGGTAAATGCGATCTCTAAAATATGTTTTCTTTCTGTTCATCAACAAAGGTTTTAAGGCACATTTACAACAATCTCCACCTTGACTTTAAACCGTGTTGATATCAATTTAACAATCAACAACATTCTTGCTTTCTACCAAGTTGAAACTTTAATCAATAACTTTGTTCAAATTCAAGCAACCCTTGAATCTTGATCTCGCAACTTGAATCCACTTGTTCCCAATTACCCTTTTCTGCCTAGGTAATTTAACAAGCCTACAAGTATGATTTTTCAACCACCCTTTACTCCACATGTTTTCAAATGCCTCCCTGAAGGTTTTTCTTCTTTTATTTTACAGTCCTTTAGCCACATTAAAAACATAATATCTAAGACTAGCATAACCATCCCTTTGAGATGCTACAATAATCCTCCTTACCTTATCATGAGTCAAATGATAATCAGAGATCTCTGTAACCATTCTCTCACTACTGCTAGCATCCATAGTATGAGACTCCACCTCAAACTGAGTTTTCTCCGTTATAATTTCTCTAGGGTTTCTCCCTTGGTTTTCATTATTCTTCTTCTGAAGAAATTCTCTATCAACCAAGTAAGTTGTTTTCACCTCAGCTCTTCCCCAAAACTCAATAATAATTCAACGGTAACATGCATTTTTATCCCTTGATTTCTGAAAAATTCATTGTACTCCTCTGAAACCTTCTTAAGGCATTCATAACGCCTTAAACTCAAATCTCATTGCTCTTCCTTGTCATGAAAGCCTCCACTAGTTAACGATGAATGAATAATAACATTAGACCCTTTAGCAATAATCAATTCATCACGCAAAATCTTCAACATTCCACGTTCAACTCTAATACAATAGCCTAGATCATCAAACATACTTATAGATACCAAATTTCACTTGAGTTCTAGAACATACCTCACATTGTGAATAAGAATTTCATGATCATTAAACATTTTAAATCTGACCATAACAATACCATGAACCTTGCATGCCTTATTATTACCAAGGCGGACTACTCCATCTTACACCATCTTTAAAGTTTCAAAGCATTCTATTTTTGGACACATGTGATAAGAGCAACTTGAGTTAATGACCAAACTATCTTCAGTTTTCAAACTCGATACTACTAGTGCTTCGGCATTGTCGCTATGCGAAAAATGACACAATCGCCACCGGATTTTATTTATCCCAAGGAGGGAAAGGGAAATAACGATAAAACCTTTAGGGAAAGATCATGGTCATTGCAATCAAGTCTTAGGGTTCGGGAGTCGGTTATGCGAGGGGAAGGTATTAGCATCCCCCGCATCCATCATACTCGATGGGAACCTTCTAGGTTGTTTTGCTTGAATAGGTGTTTTAATCTAAGAGTTGTTTGCTTAAAAGAAAAGAGGGGTTGGTTTTTTTATTATAATGCTCGCCAATGATTGTTGCCCTTGTGCCTACGTATCCTCACTTAAAAGAAGTGAAGAATCAGAGCTCCGTAGTTCGGAGGCTTGTGAAATGGTTGTTTGTTGGTTGATTTTATACCTTGAAAAAGAGTTTTCGGATTTATGCCCTAAGGCGAAAAGAAGTTTGATGAGTTGATGTTATTTTTAGATTTTTGAGGAGAAATCGTTCTTGATTAGGATCACACAAAAACTTTGGATAGAGATGAATGTTTTGAATAACCAAGTCGAGCGCCCTGTATTCAAAACATTAGGAATGAGTGTAGGAGGGTTTCATTCTCATTCCTTCTCCACCACTTTAAAGTTCATGGCGTATAACCCTAATCGTATCTTTATTGTATTTTGGATTTTTTATGAGAAAAAATACCACTTGATGTTGGATCGAGGGTTTTATTGTTTGTAAAAATATTTGAAGTGGTGCGAACAAGGTCGATGGCGAACGCACAAGACGGTCGACTTACAAGGGTGAAAATGCCTCGATAAAATTGAGAGTTTATTTTAAAAATAGTTTCTGGAAACAAAGGTCAAAAATGACCATATCAATATCCACATACAATGGTCGTACAACCACATCGGGTTAGTCAGCATGAAAAACCAAAACATGGGGAAAAAAAGTTCACCGTGCGAACTCGAAAAAAAAAATTTGGGGAAAAAACTAGAAAAATTAAGGGAAGTTCATTAGGCGAATGCTGCCCAGAAATAGTATGAAATTCACTGTGCGAACTTCCCAGCAAATGCAAACAGAGGCAAAAGGGACTGAAGTTTGCTGTGCGAACCTTGCAGCGAAGCTGCCCAGAAAAAACAATAAGAAGTTTGTTGTGCGAACTTCCCAGCGAACGCAAACAGAGGCGAAAGGGGGCAAAGTTCGCTAGGCGAAGGTGCCAACGAACATGACAGAAAAAACATTAAGAAGTTCGCTGTGCGAACTTCATGCTGTTTTGCCCAGAATGTGCCCTTTTTATGGAAACAGAGGGGAAATGGGGCAAAGTTTGCTAGGCGAACTTGCCAGCGAACATGACAGCATACATGAGTATTTTCAACTTATGTCGCTATGAAGGGAAGGATACCCAAGAGCTACTATCTTTCTTCACCAATGGCCTTTGTTGGATGTGCTTCTATGGTCCACCTCCTTCTTCTGGTTTTCTATCCCTCTCTTGTTCTCTCGAGGTTTTCTTTTCAATCTCTTTTTCTGTTTTTTCTCTTACTCTCTTTTTTCTGATTTTTTCAATGTCTCTTGCTCTCAATCTCTCTCTATGTGTCAATGTGTCTCCTTTTTTTTTACTGCTGTTACTTTTCTTTTAAGCCCAAAGCATTAGGGTTTGCACATGTCTTTAAACTTCAGAATTTCTACACTTAGAAATGTCCAATTCCACTTTTTTGGTGCACCCTTTTGTCGCTACTGCGAAAATCGGCGCCGGCTAAACAGAAGAGTCGCCACCGTGCGTTATTTATCCCAACGGAGGGAAAGGAAACGCTCAAAGTAAACCTAACGCAAAACGGGAAAGGAATGGTCATCGCAACCAAATCCTGGATTCGGGAGTCGATTACGCAAGGGGAAGGTATTAGCACCCCTCACGTCCGCCGTACTCGACGGGATCCACGCTTGTTTTCTAGTACGAATTGTTATTCTATCTACTCTAGAGGTCTGGGTTAAAAAGAAAAGAAAATGACTCGGAAAAGTATCGCACTTTATGCCTACGTATTCCCGTCTGGAACGAGAAATCAGAGTCAACGTAGTTCGCCTACCTACGAGTGAAGGTGGAAAGGTTGCTCGCTAGGATACGGCATCCTATGCCTACGTACTTTCATACAGCATGAAAGATCAGAGCAAACGTAGTTCAGGCTATGGAAGACACAAGCTTGTCTGACTGGTTTTTTATTACCTTATGAAAGGGTTTTTCTTGATTAAGAGTCCAAGCGGACAAAAATGACACTTTGATGTTTGTTTTGAATCTTTTACGAAAGAAGTGTTTTTTAGTTTGTTTGCAATCTCTGACGCACTAGAGACTATGATTTGAGAGTGACTACGTCGTGTGTCACCCAAAGGGTACCACACTAAGCAGCCAGACTACTGGAAAGAAGCTCTCCAGCAACCCTTTCTCGAATAGCTTAAGGCTCGTAGCGTACGATATCGATTAACCTTATTACTGTATCTTTGAGCTGTTTTGAGATGAGGAGAGAAGAGAAAGAAGCTCTAAAAAACCTAGGGTTGAAAAGGAATAAAAACCAACCTAATGTTGTCATGCATGGATAATAATCCTAATGTCTGTCATAATTCCCTCCTGCACAGAGGAAATCAGAGATCCTAGGGGATAAACAGAAAAGAAAGCAAGCAAATACAGTAAAATGCATGCAATGCAGCAATACAAGCGAGGCAAGGGAGTCCCACTCAACCTCGAACCTGGGAAAACAACAGGCAAAGTGAATCAACATTCACTTCAAACCTAAGGGGCAAGCTACACAATCCAACAAACAATACAGAAAACAACCACAACAGAGGAGGCAGCCCAAGAAGCAGCACCAAACTCCTACAGCAAACAACAGCTCTGACAGCAACAGTTGGTTAAACAGCAGAAAGTTGACAGCAACAACTTTCATCTTCATGACTAGCTCCTATCTTC